TGAATGTTGAAAACGAAAAATAAATTAATTAATTAAAAAAAAAACAAAAACAAGGTTCTGTGTCACCTTCCCCGATTCCTCCATGTAATAAACGTGTGTGTGTGTGTGTGTGTGTGTAAAAGGGAAAGTATGTACACAAGTAATTATGATACAAGTTTAAAACAATTACATGCATGGGATTGTTCATATAGATTGGCATGAAAGATTGAAGAGAAGGATGTGGGGAAGATGGCGTTGTTGGTTGGGTAAGGCTTCATGGTATCATTGGGTGGAAACGGGGGTAAGACCACTGTTCTAGGATCTATTGGGCAGGCAGAGCAAAAGTACATTGACAGAGGCAAGGAAGAGATAAAGGAATTAAATTCAATAAACATATATTAATCATCTACTCGGTGAGAGGCACAGCACTAGCCTCTGGCAATGAATACCAACGGGAAACAAAAAAACAACAAAAAAAAAAGAAACCAGTCCCTGCCCTAGAGGCACTTATTTCTATAGGGGAAGGGGGTGGGGGGTTTGGGGGGCAGAAAAGATACAACTAGGATAAAAATTTAATATAAGGTAAACCAAAGAGGGAGGGCACATTCGTCAGGTTGGGCTGAATCACTCCATAAAAACCGATAACATTACAAGCCAATATACGCTATGTGTCAGGCAGAGAACAAGTGAAGACGAGAAGTAGTTGGGGGTTGAGAGAAGGCAAGTAACAGGTTGAGGCCAGATTGTGGGGGGCTCTGAGTGCCCGAGTAAAGAGTTTAGACTTTGTCCTGTGGGCAATGAGGCGCCACTGAAGGTATTTGAGCAGAGGAATGAAATGAGGAAAGCAGTGTTTCAGGTAGATTATTCTGGCAGCTTCCCCATGCGTGGGGGGTGGGTGGGCAGACTTGATAGAGCAGGAGAGGCCACTGAAATAGTTCCCGAGTGATGTGATTAAGGTCCCGGACTAGTTTACCTCCCTTCCCGAAGTCATTAGCTCCCTCTCCATTACATCCACAAGTAGAATCTAAAGACTGCAGCATTGCCTCCAGCAATCATCTTGGGTCCCCAAGGTTAAGGGGACTTTTGAACGAAAACCCAAGCTGGCCACACATTAAGCGAAGATCATGTGGTTTATCATCTCTTCCTCACTTGCTGCCTTGGACTGTTTCTCTCATCTCATATACTCCAACGAACGACGTTATCCTTCTCTGTAAGTATTGGCAGCTCCCAAGCCCAAAGCTCAGGATGAAGGTGCTGGGGCTCAGGACAGAAGTTTGGAGCTGGAGGAACTGGCCTGAAAACAACCCTTTTCTCAAGCAAAAAAAACCTGTCAATCAGATTGTATTTGCTTTAGATCCAGCAGAAAGGGGGACTGAGAAAGGACTTGAATTTACTAAAGCTACAAGTGGCTTACCAAGTGCACTTTAGTCAAGCCTGACTGCTCTGGATTTCTAACCAAAGAATTAGATAATTAGGACCTAGTTATAAAACTAAGATGTGAGAGTTTGGGAGATGCAGGTGGGAGAGAAGGGCTATGAACAGCAGGATAAGATTCCTTTTCCCACAATGGAATTCATTAAATAAAAAACCCTCAAAGACAAAATTATTACAAAAAACAAAAACCAACCTATTAAAACTTCTCAGGATCAAATGCCTTACAGTTGATCCCTTTTTCAGGTCCTTATATGATGTAAATGAATTACATACACGTGAAAAATGTTGATTTCAGTTTTTCTCTCTCTCTTTTTTGCTATCTTGGCTTATATTCACCGACATATGTAACAAAGCAAGTCAATAACTTTCCCACTAGTTTTTAACTCTCATGTTTTCTAAATGTCTAAAGACAAAAGCTGGCATACTTATAATTAACCCCTCCATTACCTAACCTTAAATCACTTACAAACTGACAAGCCATTTTTAAACTGAGATGTTTTGAACTGGAACCTATCCAATTAGCATCAAATCTTCAGGAAACAGGAACAAATGTGCTTTAAAAACAGGCTGACAAGTCATTTCTGGGGTCAACTTCCACAGAGAGCTCTACTTTCCTTTAGAAATAAATCTGTGTTCCTTGCCTCATGCTTTGATGACTGACCAGTCCACTGGCACTACCTACAAATGTTACCCTGCTTGACACAGAAAAGTCAAGATTTTCACAGAATGAATTCCAATTCTGCTCTGCAAATTAACTGGCACCACTGCAAACTTGATTCAGCCAACACACAAGGTCATTGTAAGCTAAGCATGTCAGAACTTCTGTGATCAGCTTGTGTGAACTACAGTCTAGTCTAGTTAGAAATCCAATCACTGTTCTATGAACACCCTTCAAGCACCAGGGTCATTTATGAAAGTTTCAGAAGCAATTTGAAGATCCATTAAAAAAAAAAAAAGGAAACTATGAAACCTGTTAAAAGCAAAATATACAGGAACCATTCTTAAGTAATGAAATAAGCAAAGCCATTCAATGGCTGAAATATTTTTGTAAACTCATATTCATATGAGATTCTTAGAAAAGTGAAAGGAAACCCTGAAAAGACTAGCACTGACTATATTTTTAAGTACTGCCCAGGTTCTGAGGTATAATTATATTCAGTTTTTGTTTTTTTTTTTTTTAAAAGGGAGAGTGAAAAGCAAAAATGTTTTTTGGATACTTCAATCACTGGGTGTTGATTAGGCTGAACAAGTTCCTTCAGGCAAATCAGATAAGGAAAGTAAAAGCAAATGCTGGGTAAAAAGAGGAATGGATTGTTTATAGGATGATGATAGGCCTCATCTTATCAAAGAGTTATCTTTGTAGGTCTACATCAAGGTGACAGCTTCACAGTCTGGCTCTGAGATTAACAAGACTGACCAGGTGCTGTAATGATGATCAAGGCACACAAAATGCCAGTTTTTATTTACTCTACCAAATAATACAGTAGCACGATGGGCGCTGGCAATTTGTTTTTTTGGTTTTGTGTCTGTTAACTTTTCTGTCCTGCATCCTGATGAGCTTGATCATTCCCTTTGAGTTTTTGTAGCTCTGGCTGAGGGGTCCATGTGTTAATACCTACATACTTCCCTGTGTACATAGTGTACAACTTTCCAAGTGCTTCCAATTAGCCTGTGCTTTTTTGGTCCTTCTGATGATTTTTGGGAACAATCTTAAAAAAGATCTCTGTAGAAGGATTGAAGGCTCCAGATCTGCAATTCACAAATCATTACCCCTGGGAAGTTCGAGATACATTTTGTAATTGGAATTGCCTTTCTCAGTATCTCTAAAACTTTGCACAGTTGGCCGTGTAACCCAGGGCAAGTCACTTAACTTCTCAGTGCCTCAGTTTCCTCATCTTTAAAATGGGAATAATAAAAGCACCTACTTCACCAGGTTGCAGCGAGGGTCAAATGAGATACCTTCTGTAAAGTGCTTTGCCAACCTTATGGTCCCATAGAATTGCTAGTTATTATCATTATAACATATGTTGTTGTTCAGTTGTGTCCTACTCTTCGTGACCCCATTTGGGGTTTTCTTTGCAAAGATACTGGAGTGGTTTGCCATTTCCTTTCCCACTTATTTTACAGATTAAGAAACTGAGGCAAAGGTTAAGTGACTTGCCCAGGGTCACATAGTTAGTAAGTATCTGAGGTCAAATTTGAACTCAAGTCTTCATGACTCCACGCCTAGCACTCTATCCACTTCACCACTTAGCTGCCCTATTATTAGCATATAGTAGGTATTTAATAATACTTATTGACTTGACTGGGAAGTAAAAGCAATAATGAATACCAACTGCAAATGTACACCTTCAGTGACTCTGATTCCAAGCACTTTGTCACAATTAACGTTACTCCAACATTACACCAGCACTAAGGGTGACTTACAAGTTAGAATTAAGGAAGTAATGTTAAAATGTATGATGAATTTTTATATATGCAAAGTGTTACCTTATTGGATATCCACTGACAATCCAATGGCATTCATGCTAATGCAAATTCCAAAATACCACATACCATATATTTACAAGTGAGTGGAAAGCACTGGACCAGTAGTCAGAAGGCCTGACTTGTCTCTGCCACTCATAAGCTATGTTATTTTATAGAAAGGCCTCTTCAACATTCTGTAAAATGAAGGGATTGTCCTACAAGATCTCTAAGGATCCTCCCACAGCTAATAAGCAAGGAAATAAGGGCTGGGCAAGTGGCACAGCCTTGAATTTAAAGTCTGGAAGACCCAAGTTCAAAGTTCAGAAAATCATCTGGCAGACACCAGCTCTGTGATCCTAAGCAAATCATTTCATTGCTATCTGCCTCAATTTCTTCAACTGTAACGGGGGATAATAATAGCACCTCCCTCCCAGATTGCTGTGAGGATCAAATGAAATATTTGTAAATTGCTTAGCACCCTGCTAGCTGACAGAGTTGTCTATTAATAAATAAATGCTTGCTTCTTTCCTGAATGTATACTCAGAATATCCTTTTGCTTAGTTACAGTTGTGGTATATGCAGTTTAACTGTCAGCATAACTTGGTCAGCAAAACTCTGCCTTCTCAATTCTGCAGTTGATACTAATTCTGTAAAAACTACATCATTTACCTACTAATATTTTCAACTATAGAAAAAACCTGCAGCATCTAATGGTGGGTGTGGATCGAGAAGAAAGGAACCAAAGGCCATTAAACCAGATTAATCATAAACCCTCCTACAACTGGACCAGGATTTTCTTGAAACACTTCCTGCCTTTTGTTTCAAGATTTACACCTTTCAAGGTTATTCAAGTCTCCCAGAGCAACCGGCAAACCTTCGGTCCCCAGACTAAAGGTCCTTATTGACATTTCTATAGAGCGTCTACACGAAGTTATTCATTGCCTGTTTATATTCTACACACCCGGTCAAGTTCATCAATTAGCCAACTTCTGCAGCAGCAAAGCTCAAACAAATAGGAGGTAGAATCTCAAGTTCGCTAGGAAATTCGTGGAGGGAGTAGGGGTGGGGTGGTCAAAGACAGAAGCAAACCATACAAAACCATACTCTTAAGGACCAACCTGGGTTCCCCCAAACGGGAGAATGGAGGAGGGAGGAACAGCTCTAAAGCTTGGGAGACTCCATCTGACCAGTCCAGCTAGATGGGCTTCCCCCACTGTCCAGCCTCACTCCTCCGGCTGAAAGGGGAAGGAAAAGGGCTTTCAACTCGTGGGAGAAGAGAGGTCCAGGGGGCTGATGTCTAGGGGAGTGGGGAAGGGCGGATGACGGGCTGGAATTGGGATGGGGAGGCCTTTTTTCATTTAAGGATGCAGGTAGGTGTGAGGGTACCCACGTAAATGGGGAGGGGGGCAGGGAGATCAGCACTCACTATAAAAAGACCGGAGGGTGGGGACTCCAGCTCCCCTCCGAGTCCCAGCGAGCTGGGGCAGGTGGCGGGTTGGGGGGAGGGGACTGTCGGGGCCGAGGGGGGCGAGGGGCGGTGATGGGGGGAGCCCCCTTCCAAAGGGAGGCGCAGACGGGAGGGGTCCCCGTGGAAGGTGGGTGGAGCGCGGGGGAAGGGGTCTGCGGCTGGACAGGAGCTGGGGCGGGCCCGGGGATCCCCTCAAAGGTTGGGGCGCCGCCTCCTCCGGGAATGGGGGGCGCGGGCAGAGGAGGAGGAGGAGGAGAAGGGGGCCCCGCCCCCTCGGGGGATGGGGTGCTAGGGGTCGGGGGGGAGGCCGGCAGTCCCACCCTCACCTTTCTCTCGAGACCCCGGTCTCCCCGCAATCCCCGAGTGCCCGGCCCAGCGGCTCCTACCTCTCCCCGGCGCTCCGGGCTCCGCTCCCCGCCGCCTCCGCCTCCCGCTCCCCATCCACAGTCCCTCGTCTCCCCTCCGCCTCCCCTCCTCCTCCCCCGCCGGGTTCTTGCCTTGACAGCTTCCCGGGCCAATTGTCTTCTCAGCCTCGCGGCTCCCTGACCAATCCTAGTCGGGGGGAGGCGGGGCTTCTCCAATGTCATTCAGGCTCCTCCTGGGGCCCCAAGATCCCTTTTGTTTGGGGAGAGCCGGGCTGGGATAGAGCTGGCGTCACTTCCTGCGGGAAGAGCCCTCCTTCCAGCCTGGCGCGCGGGTTGGCTCTCGCGCCGCTATCCTGCCGGGCTCTATCGTTGCTAGCCGGCTCTCCCGCTCCCCCGGCCGCTGCAAGGGGCATGTATGCCTTCGCCGGGTCCTAGACGAACGGGGAAGCATTTGGCGTTCGTTCCCGGGATGATGTTCCTGGGTTGCAATTTTGCCCCGTTTTGTTCGGGCTTTAGAATTTGTATTCCATCCCCCAGTTCACTAATATTCCATTCAATTTGTAATCTCATTCCAGTACTCACTTTAAAAATGAGAAACACCTCTTTGTTCTTGGTTGCCCCAATGCAGAGTACCTTGGGAACGGCGAAGGGCTAATAGCAGATAGCCCGTCTGTTCTTCATCTTGGCCTTGGCTGTGGCCAGACTCCACGTGTTAGCAGTGGGATGGTGGTGGGAACTGAGTTCTCTATGGGATAATCTTGCGGTTCTGTCTTCCATAATATAGCAGAATGCAAATTCCTTGAGGGCAGACTGATTGGTTTTTTGGGGTTTTTTTGGGTACCTCTCAGGGTTTAGCACACAGTCAATAGGCATTGATCAGATGCTTACTACGTGCCAGGCACTGTGCTAAGCACTGGGGATGAAAAGAAAGCCAAAAAATAATCACTGCCCTCAAGTAGCTCAGGAGGGTGATAATGTGCAAACAACTATGTAAAACCAAAATACAAATATGTAAACATGTATCTGTGTCTATACACACATATTATGCAGATAGAGAAATAGACATAATTACATAATGTATATATTGAGAGAAATTGATAGGGTACGGCCCAAGCTGAGACGTTTGCCACTTACCCCTCAAAAACTTTGTCTCATTTGTCTAAGGGATTCTCCTTGAGCTCTCCCACTTGAATCAAGGAGGTCACCATAATCCCATCAACTGGCCTTTCATTGTGGCTATTCCCAAGGTCTCTATTCTCCATTACCTTTAACCTAGCCTAACCCTCCATTGTCTTACCTCCCTATGGCCCCCAGCCACTTCCCACCCTTAATCCTAGCTAGGCTTCATTCTCCTTTGGCCACGTGGTCCAGGTCCCTGGCATTCTATTACCTCACAATCCCGGAAGACTACTTGGCCACTCCTAGGTCCCTCCCATCATCTTTCTATAAGTAAGGTCTATCTTGTCTCCAGTAGGGTGCTCAGATTCTTACAACCTAGCCAGTAACTCACATATGGCATATGGCTAATGTGGCAGATCCTTAATAAACCTTGTCTCTGGCTGAAAGAAGACTTGTGTCGAATTCTTTCGGGCAGGATCCACCTGTGGTGATCTCAGGGTCCCAGCACCCCTAAACCTCTAGACCTCATCAAAATGATTATTAATAACCGATATCTTGGGGAGATTCAGAGCTCTTCTTCCAAAGTCCTGATTTTAAGTTCAGTCTCTTGAAAGTTGTTATAGTTAATGAGATTGGATTAACTCACCTCAATCTTGGTTAGAACCCACCCAGTTTTACAAGGAATTTAATCTAAGATGAGGAAGCCCATTGTGATCTACTCAAACTTGAGTGGAAATAGATCCTTTTGTCTAGATAGCCCAAGACTGGGGGTAATCTGAGTACAGAGATAGTTTCTCTTTCCAAGAGTTACATGATGTCACTCTCAACCTTTCATTGAAAACCTCCTCTTTCAAGAATATATAAGTTGTGAGCCCACCGCCATGATTGTTTTTCCTCTAAGGGCACCATCTCCAGTTGTCCTGATCTATATCTTGCCACTGGACCCAGATAGCTCTGGAGAAGAAAATGAGGCTGGTGACTTTGCATACCCCTTCCTAACTTAAATTCAATTCACTTGCAAGTCATGGCATCATCTTCCTGATGTCATGGTCCTCTTCAAGAGTGAAAGACAAACAACAACAACATTGGTCTAAGAAAGATGGCCAAATGACCATCCTTTTATTAATAACTTGCTGACCTTATTAATAAAGTGATTAAATTAGCTGGAAACTATGTCTTTTGAACCTTTTTAATTGCCACAATATGGAACTCAATCTAATGGGTGACAATATGCAAACAATTATGCAAAAACAAGATATATGCACATGTCACATATATATATATGTATACACATGTGTGTATATATACATATATCCTATGATAAATAGGAATTAACCAATAGAGGGAAAACACTAGATTTAAGAGGACTTGGGAAGGCTTCCGGTAGAAGGTGGGAATTTAGCTGGGACTTGAAGGAAACCAGGGAAGCCAGGAGGCAGAAATGAAGGAGATGGTTCCAGGCATGGGGGACAGCCAGGGGAAATGCTCAAAGCTAAGAGTGTCTCTTCAAAGAACAGCAAGGAGAACAGTCACTGGAATGCAAAGTAGGAAGAGGCCTTGAAAGATACAAAAAGACTGGAAAGGGGTGTGTGTGTGTGGTGTGTGTGTGAAGGAGAGAGTAAGAGAGAGAGGGAGAGAGGGGGAGAGAGAGAGAGAGAGAGAGAGAGAGAGAGAGAGAGAGGAATCCAGAAGATTCTTAGGTTCTTCACTTTTAAAATGAGAGAACTGGATTAGATGATCTTTATTGTCCCTTCTCTCTCATCTATTCTTATGATAAATTTCTATACTTTGAAATCTGCCTCTGTCAAACTTCTACCACTCTTCTGCCTCCCCCCTGAGGCCATGCAGAAGGGAATTGTAGATCAAAAAGACTTTAGATATCCTCTAAAATAGAATCTCTCTTCCTATAGTATCAGACCTTCAAATACTTCAAGATACCTCACCAATTGTTTTCTTCTCCCTTTTTATGAGCTGCTGGAGCAAAATACCTGCTGATGCTTGGAAGACCAACTTTGAGTGATGGAAGAAGGATGTCTTGAGTGAGATTGCTTTTATGAGTGTGATATGATGGAGGTCAGAGTCTCAGGATTCCATGGTGGAAGATTGCACCATTCACTCTATTTCACCTCTCTATACTAGTAGTCACACAAGAGGGACAGAGTAAGAAAGTACAGTGTAAACCTAACAGGACTAAACAGGAAAAACTACTCAGCATGACAGCCAACTTGTTTGTGGTGGACTAATGGTGTCACCTTTGTATATGAAGGACAGCAAATTCATTCACCCATTATCTAATTCTTGGATGCTTCTGGATGCAGTACAATTGATAAAGGAAGAATGACAGAATCAGAGACCACTCTTCTCTACCCTTTAGTCTGCTATTTGTATTCTGGTTTGAGGGTCCAGGGAGGGGGCTGGAACTGATGTGGTTTGGGGTGCTGGGAACCTCTAAATATAAGGGTACAAGGCGAGTCTGCCTGGAAAGGATTCACTCACTCAGTCCTTTTTCTACTCAAGGAGCCGTTTATTGTAACACCAACAGAAGCGGGCAGGGTTCCTAGTGAATCTTCACAATTTAATGGAGTTAAGATTAGTACTTATATTCAAGAAAAGACCATGAGAAGATCTGGATGGGATTAAGGTCATATATTCAAGTGGTCTGAGGTGGGCCAAAAGATACAGTGAAAGGAACATCAAGTAAGTTAATTAGGTGGTCTGGGTGGGCTGGGGTGGGCCAATTGCCTTGGGCGAAGGAGCCGGTGATGTAGGCTGCTGAAATGTATGGGAAAATTCAGGGACTGGGTTGCTTTCAAAGACATGGTTTCCTTTTAGGGGTCCAGGTGCCATCACCCCATTAGAACCTCAGGTACTATGCCAGGCGCTGCTTGGAATATAAAAATGAATGTTATGGGTCCTGATTTCAGGGTGCTTAGAGTTTAGTAGGAAAGAAAGGGGAAGAAAATGACTGAAATGTTTAAATACAGGTTGTTCCAAAAGTTTTCATGCTGCTTTAAGTTTTTAAAACTTAAAAGACTTTGGGGACACCTTGTGTAGGCTAGGTGCTAGTATAGATATGGGGCTACAAATAGTTTCATTTCCGTCTCCTCCCATTTGTTCTGCAATGCAATGAGGAAGTGCCACATCCCTTGACAATGGGGAGAAGCCCTGGCTATTTTCTGCCTATTCCTGAATCACCAGGAGAGCAAGACTGGTGAATCAGTCTTTCCTCCCCACACTGGTTGCCATTGACCTCTCTCCACCCAACCTTTGCTCCAC